TCTTACCACATACAAGCTCGCATTCGAAATTTTTGGTCGAGCATTTTCTAAACTTTTTTTCTCTAAAAAAACAAGGTAGACATAGAAAAAATATATCAAAAGATGCGCAATAAAAACCTCTCTCTAATGGACAAAACTGTTTTGAAAAATCTCCTATAGTAGAAGAGAAATAAATAGACAAAGTCAACGCGCATTCCTTTCCGAACAACCTAATAGTAACAAATCCCATTCTAGTCTAGACTCCGAAATTTTCGTCGCAGATTATTCACATCACCTGTGAAGGTCGCTAGTATTATTGCTGTCATGGAGAACAAGGAAATCGCTCTTTGACCAGTCCGAGATATTTGCTTCTGTTAGGGTCCCTATAATGGTCATCCCTTTCATAAAAAATTTCAGAGCGCTATTCTTGCTGCAATGGTTAACATACAACTGCCCATATACCTCGGCGAACTTATCGACAAGATGGCTCAGATCATCAAAGGTTATTACGCTGTACTTGTACTATTTTTATTTTGTACTTTGTTTCCTTGCTCTAAGTAAGGCTAGGCTTCGTAGAAGTTGCCGCGTGCGGTTGCGCTGCAATACCAGCTTTAAGGCTCAATGCTCATAATTGGAGGCTTACTCCACAATAACGATGGATGAAGCCTCGTAACTGCGCTCCTCTCCTCTTTACTGTATCAAAAGGAGAATTGCAGTTAAGTGGATCGCCCAATGATCGTAGGTCTCCGCCCACCTAGTCACAACGGAATGTGCTTTCAAATACTGTAAGATTTACCTGATCTTTCCGTTACATCATTCCGAACCATAGGCCATACTAATTTTTTTAGCGGTGCGTCTTCTGATTTCTCCTTGATTACATTTTGCAGCTCGACCGCTCGCGGCTGTGATGACCAGCCTCGTCCGTTGGAAACTCTGATGGACTAGTCTCTCGTATATATTTGTATTTTCCAGACCAATCAAAGGGAATGGCGACCGATTTGAATATAATCAAACCCGAAGCTGTCAAACTTGTCTTGTGTTATACTGCTCAGGCAGTACTCACATTTTGTTACATAACTTTCCTAACGGTACTTGGAGAGCGCATGGCTGCTGATCTTCGTGTAAAGTTGTTCAGTCGCCTACTCATTATGGACATGGCATTTTATGACAGTCAGGTAGAGACCCCCGAATAATAGGATTATTATTATTATTGTTATTTTTATACTTATTAATTTATTATTACTGGTTTACTATATAATTAACTTTCGAGAACTCCTGGCGCAGCTCGGCGTGAGGGCATCGAATGGTACTAAGCTATGCGTATAGATGAGCCTGTGAAGACCTGTGGACTCCTGTGACCGGACTAGCTCACACGCATCGTTTCGCAGCTTCACAGGAGTTAACGGGTCTTAACAAAACGATGAAACTCTATTAGAAACTGCCAATAAAAGGAATTAGCGAAAGTGCAGTGCCCCTCCAAACCGAACTGCGCCAAATTTCCTCTCATATATCACCTTCTTTACAGAAAACAGCTGAACTGTCAGCTCGACTGAATAATGATGTGCAGGAGTTCAAAAGTTGCTTCAAACTTACCGTTGCTCAAGGACTGAGGACACTTACTCAGGTTTGAACTTTCTTTTCTTTGCCTTTTTGTTCAGGTCATGGCGAGGTCGCACGAGAGCCCAGAATTTCAGGTTGTCGGCTGTGTGGTTTCTCATTATCATATTTTCTTCCAACAAATGAGAATGTGCTACACTGTTTCCGCTGTTCCACTCTGTTAATAACATTTGGTGCCCTGTTTGGACGTTGTTTAAGGAGTCTCTCGTAAGAAGGTTCGTTCTGTCTTTCTTGATGTTTATGAATTTTTCTTCACTTGATAATAATGCGTTTTTCATTACAAATCTGCCCCTCCAGGTGGGGGCCCAAGGGGTTTCAACACTACGACCATAAGGCTAGTTGCCTCTACCCCTCTACCCGCTCGGAGGTCACATAGATTTCATCTTTCTGACGGGAGGCGGGCAGGACAATCGTAACTGCCGCCGCGCGCGGCGCATCATGCGACCGTGCGGGCAGTTTCTCCATATGTATCAGTTGTGGGCTGGAAAGCAAAAACTCATTTGAATCAGTGGATATACAAGACTCCATGGCGGACAAAATGGAATTTTCCCAACCTTTTGACACTCATATCCGAAGGGCCTACCAGGACAACTCGTTTTTTTTGGTGTGCCGTCGCTCGTCACCCCCACCATCGCGGCATATTACGATTGTCTTGTCACATACCCGTTTTAAAGGGTACTTTTGGATGGGTGTAACTGCTGTAGAGGCGCTTCCCAAACGCGTGGATCGCAGCTCAGTTCTCTTCTAGATGGGCTTCCTCCCTGGCTGGCCAAGGCTTCTGCACCTCCGAGGGAATTAGTAGTGGGCTCTGCAGTGGGGATGAAATCGCTGCCTTCACATCGAACGACCCGTACTACGTCACATTGCCTTCAAAAGCATTAGCGATTCTGAACGGAAGTGGAGTGCGTGCCTCATCTCAAATGAGCTCTAGCCAACCAGCGCTGTACCTTTTCCTTTTTGCACATCTTCAAACTCGGTTTCAGAGCTCAAGCTCAGTCTGCCGTAGCTGCATCTGTCGCCGATGAAGCATTTGGAAACATCCGAACAGTTCGAGCCTTTGCCATGGAGGAGCAGGAAGCGCGGTCAGTCTGCTCAACCCTTTTTGGACTCGTTTTTGCAACATTATTGTGCTTCAGATTGTTCGAAAGGGAAGTTCGTAAAGCTTGTTCGATGCAAGAGCTTTTAGGAATGGGCATAGGATTGTTTCAAGGTAATCAGGTGTATCCGGACTTTTCTGAGCTCAAATTCGTTGTTCAGGAGCTACGAACTTTTTCTTGAACGGGATAGTCTTATCCGTCCTATACGGTGGTTCATCTCTTATAAAAGAAGGTATCGTTTGCTTGAACTCGTGTTGAACTGGATCGATCTTCATGGTTTTCTTCTTCAGGAAAAATGACCCCTGGAGAACTAATGGCATTCCTCGTCACCGCTCAAACGATTCAGAGGTCACTAAGTCAGCTTTCGCTAGTGTTCGGTACTGCACTCAAAGGATGGACAGCTGGAGCGCGAGCCTTCGAGGTGACTGCGCGAAATGAACCCTTCGTGTTAAGCGCTCCATCCCTTGTCTATCCACAAGATTTCAGTTCGTTAACCTGCACCCGACCATACGAAATGACGACGGTGTTTGTATCCCATATCACTCGCTCTGTGGCGGAAGGTGCGCTTCGAGAATGTAGCATTTGCATATCCGGCCAGGCCAGAGCATAATGTCTTCGAATGTTTGAACCTGACAATACCAGCGGGTCAAGTAGTTGCATTGTGCGGACCAAGCGGAGAAGGTAAGGACGGAAAATCCGCGTTCCATGTTTTCTTAACTGAAAGATTTGTACTGTTTCAAATAAAAGCTATACTGTCAAGGTAAGAGCACCATCACTTCGTTATTGGAGCGATTCTATGAACCGCATGGTGGGCGGATACTTCTGGACAATCAGGATCTCAGAACACTTAATTTGGAATGGCTGAGAGGACAGGTGGGTATCTCCATGAGAAGTACTAAATGTGGAATAAGATGGAGGGGAAAGGGCGGATTTTTCGGCTATGATAATCTTGGAGGGGGCAC